GTGCTGTTTTCTAAGTTTTCCTTTGCCTTCTGTCATACCTGACAGTGCTGAAGGTGACAACTGGAATGGAGACCTTAGGAACTCAGCTTTTCTTTGAGTTACTAGTAACTTGCTGTGTAATCTGCTTGTGAATATCATTCATAGTTAAATCCAAATTTCAGTCAGAGGTATCTTTTCTCAAAGAAACTAAAGCTTAGCATTGTCCTGCTTTATAGAACAAGAAGCTAGTTTTCTTTTTGTCTTTATAAAATGAGTACAAAGGTGTTGTCCAAAAAATACCCCTGTGCCAGGCCTGTAATCCTAGCACTCTGGAAGGCTGAGGCAGGAGGATCACAAAGTTGAAGCCTCAGCAGGGCAAATTAGAGACTTAGCAAGACCCCCATCTCCAAATTAAAGAAAGGGTTGGGGATGTAGCTCATTGCAGAGGCCTTCGGTGTAATCCCTAGCCCAGGGTTACTGGGGCCCCCCCACTCCTACAGACCTATATATTAAGCTTAACAATTTCATTTGGAGTGCATGCCCTGTTGGCCCAGTTCAGAGTCATGAGAGAAAGACAGAGAGATGGAGGACAGACTGGAGTTGAGGAGGGAGTGTAATTGACTCATTATTGACTACAATTCTGTTGATCCCCTTTATTCCCAGTGGATGATCCATGGCAGGATTTCTTGAGCAGCCTCTTGATTGATTCCTCCCTGCCTTTCATCTTACTTCCCTCCTTTCTAACTGCTTCTCTAGATTCATCTGTAGAGTATTTTGTTTTCCAGCTCTATTGAACTTGGATTAGTTCACTGAAGTCAGTGTAATCATTGCACATGTTGCCACTGTGCAAAAGGACACCTCTTTTCTAACCAAGCCTTCTGTCGTGATCTGTGCTCAACACCTTCTTTGAGAAACATTACTGAAGCCCTCCAGGGTAGGTCCTTGTTGCGCTTCTGTTGGAACTAATATATATCTTTTATTTCTGTTGGTTTTTTGAGACACTTACTATATATAAATAGTTTAAACGAGACTTGAACTCACTATGCAGCTCAGGCTAATCTCAAACTCATGGCAATCCTTCTGCCTCAGCCTCTTGAGTGCTGGGATTACAGGCGTGCATCACCATACACGACATGCATATTTTCTAAGTGTGTTTAATTCACTTTCTTTTTCACTATGTAGTAAGCTTTTGGAACTATGCCTAGTTTGTTTAGGACTGTTGTATCTTTCCTACACAGCATTTGACGCATAGAAAATGCTCAATGAACACCTGATGAGTTAACAAGTTAGTAAAACCAGAAGCAGATAAAAATTTGTAGATTTTTGCGATATAATCTAGAAGCTGATAAAAGATGATAAGGCATAGTAACCCTCAGTCTTAAAACTTCATTCCAGATTTGTTGGAAAGCTAGTGTCATCTAACAGTGATAGTGTATGGTCTGTCAAAAGGGTTTGTTACCTGTGCGCTGTGCAGAATTAGGAAATAATTCTCAGCTTTGTGGGGCCAACTGTTTGTCTAAGCCTTTATTTTTAAATGTTCAAAATTTACTCTGCATCTCTGAAGGGTGGGCAGGGACTGGGAATTAACAAGTCTTAAATTATTAAATCAGAAAAGATTTAAACATTCAATAGAAGAGGGGTGGGAGAAATGTTTTCAGGGAGCAAGGGATAACTGCATGGGATGACTATACTGTGACTCTTAGAGGAGATGTGAAATGTTAACAGAGGTCCTCATCAAATTCCCAATTTTATGGGGTCTTGTTTTACACTGCTCGTCTTTAGGTGTGAAATTCTACAACTATGTTCTTAGGACCAGCATAATCCGTATGGTGTGGGAAACAATACTATGTTTTTTTATAGGTGATTTAAATAGGACATTAGACACATCATTTATTTATTTAGGTGCTGGATATTGAGCCCAGGGCCTCACACAAGCTAGACAAGCATTTTACCACCAAGTTATACCCCAGCTCAACAGTGCAGTGGTTCTTTGTTTCTTCCTAACCCAGAGAGTTAGTTTTATGAGCCTTTTGATTAATTAGTTATGTATCCTGAATAGTACAGAAGCAAATCATTTCTACATCTTTGGGTTATGGATGATCCCCCCATGGACAGAAATTTTATTGAAGAGCAGTGTTATTTTAGTAGAGTTTTAAACACACACCACCACTACCACCATGATACCCTATACACCTCGATACAACATTGAGGAAGGGCAAAAATTTTCAGTGACTGTTTTCAAAGTTTATTTCCCTTTATTTTCTTCTGAAAGCTTGTCTTGGCTTTCTTGGTGTGGTGGCAACATAAAAATAGTAGGTATGAATTTCAAGGTTACAGCTAAGCTTACTTGTCAACAGAAAGCAGTCAGTAGGCTAACCACAGTCTTAATCTTATTTCATGCATCTTTGCCCTGAGGTAGAAATTTTCATTCATACTTTAGAGGAAATGAATAGTTACAGATTCAAACTTGCAAACATCTTAAAAGATGTCAAAGGATGAATTAAGAAACTTACTGGATGTTAGAAAATACTTTGTAGAATTGGCCAATTGTTGGTTATTGTTTATAAAATTTTTCCAGGGCTTTCCAGAATTGAGTGCTACCCAAAATTCAGATTGTTAGAGAGTGCTTATAGCCAGCTTTGTCTGTATACAAATGTAAAAACACAAACTTGGGTGAGACTAAAAAGTAGGTAAATAAATAAGTATGTAGAGCAATGGTTCTGGCAGGGAAGGGGGAGATTTTTTTTCCTCTAGACATTTGACCATGTCTGGACACATTGCCAGAATTCTAGTGAACAGAGGCCAGCAGTGCCGCCAGTAGCTTAGAGTGCACAAAAATGTCAACAGTGTCACTATTGAGAAATAATACATAAATACAAATACATATAAATGTGTGCATATATAAATCTTTATTTTTGGACTTTTTTCCAGGACATAAAAATATTTAAGGAGGCTGGTTGTGGTGGTACATGCTTGTAATCCTAACTGCTTGGGAGGCTGAGGTAGGAGTATCCAAAGTTCAAGACCAGCCTGTGTAATCTGTGAGACTCTATCATAATAAAATTTTAAAAGGGGCTGGGGATGTAGCTCAGCACTCCCTGGATTCAGTGCCCCACAGGAGAAAAAAGTTAAGGCAACAAATATTCATTCCAATTCTTAAACACATGCATGTGTTTTGATTATGGTGGAATTAGTCATGTCACACATAAACCGTTTCAAAGCCTCAGGAACCCTAGCCAGGGAGCTCGTCTGTTTCTCAGAGCTGTTCTCTCACAAAGCTTGCTTTGGGGGTCACTCATGCTTTGGGGGTGTTAGAGAGTTAGGGCACTATCTTGAGAGAGCCTTGAGATAACTGAGCATCCTTCAAAGTAATCTTTTCTGTAACGTTATACCAGTTCTGTTCTTGACCTTGAAGTACTTTCCTACATTGCCCTGAGACAAAAGGTTAGTCTTTAATTTATCTCTGCTGTGGCTGTCTAACCCTTCTGATTTTTATGAACTGAATGTCAAGATCAGAGGAGTCAGGGAGGTGGAGTGATTGTGGAATTGCATTTGAAGTTCAAATAGCTTGCTGTCTTTTGTTTCTGCAACTGTAAACTTTTCCCTGAAGCTTTTTTTTTTGGTACCAGGGATTGAACTTGGGTCCACATGCTTGCAAGGCAGGTGGCAGAACCACTGAGCTAAATCCCCAACCCTTCCCTGAAGTTTTGGAACACAGTACTTTATATTCTCTCTTAGCTCTATTTCTGATAAAAAAAAAATTTGAGCACTTAATAGTAAATCGGTAATCAGTATAGCAGCGATGGGTTTGAAAACAAAATTAGTTTTGAAAAAAAAAATCAAAGGACAACATGCTATAGTGATGTGGCCACAAACTAATCTAAATTGAAGATAATAAAATTGTTTTGAAAAACTCAAGTCTTTTAAGATCTTTTTCTTTTTTGATATCCCTAATTGGTGATATTGTTTTAAAGGAGCAGTATAACTTCTGTCTAAAAGGATGGTTATTAACTATTCTTTGTATCATTTAAGATAGGTTTAGCTGTATGTAATAAAAAAATCAAAACCCCACTATCTACAGAACTAAAAGTAGCAGTGACTTAATACAAGCTGATGTTTACTTTTATTTGGATAAAGAAAGTCCAGAGGAGCCGTCCAGGGCTAGTCTGGCTGTTTCCTCATACATCTGGACCCACCCTCTATTCCTTGATGCGAGGCCCCATTGTCTAAGCAGGATGCTGGAAACTCATAATTTTTGATAAATTCTGAATTGGCCATTTGGCTGCCAAAAGAGATGTATACCTGACTGGGTGACATTATAGCTCAGGCATATGATTAATCTTGTCAACGGTAGGTAGCTACCACATTTATGAGGTAGGCATACACCCTAGATATTTATAACCTGCCAGTAAGCAACATTCACTCAGCTTATATGATGTGAGCCAAAAACCAGTGTAAGTTATTTGATGAAAAGATCAACACCATTTCTTAAACTTTATGCTGGATCTATTTCTTATTTTCTAATAAAACTTATTCATTCTGAATTTAATTTTTGATTTCTAAGTATATATTTCTCTTTATCATTATCATGTCCATTTTTCCAGCCACTTAGAAGATGAAAGAGTCAAAGATTGTCCTTCATTTTTAAGAAACTGCCCTGATAGGGCTCAACACTTCTGTATACATCTTACTGTGTTAGCCAAAATTTAGTCATGTGGTCGAGTGTGGTTTCAAGGAATGCTGAGGAAATAGTCTTTTGGATGGAAGATGGACTTAGCAAAAATCAAAAAGAAAACAGGTTTTTGTTAGTAAAGAATGATGAATAACAGATTTTGAAACAACTCAAAAAATAATGGGCATATGATCTCATCCAGATTCTCAAAGATTATAAAAATAAGGTATTGTTGTAACTGATTATATCCTCCCTCCCATCCCCCTCCCCTCCCATCCTTGGTGCTTTATTGTTCCCCCATCCCTTTTCCCAAAAGCAAGGCTAATTATTCTGTCTTTTCTTCTTTTAGGACTTTCCGTGATATCTCTGAAGATCTGAAATCTTCAGTAGACTGACATGGTTTTCCTGCAGTGATTTCTGTAGGACATTCCACCTTGACCGTGAGTTCAGCTCAGCTCTGGCCTTCTGTCCTTGCAGCTGTTCCTGGCAGGAAGAGGCCAGGCAGAGCCCAGGAAAGAAAGAGAATCTCCAGGCCTTACAAACAGAGCCTACAGGAGCCCCCAACAAGAGAGAACTTGCTGTGGGTGCTTTACATTGTAAAACACAGCTGGAGAGCTCAGAAGTGTGCTTTGCTCCCTTCACCGTTGCTAAGATGACTTGAAAAGTTTCAGATTATGCACTGGTACCATGGCTTGACATTTTTCCACTTTGATTATGTTTGTTACTATGATATGTATTTATAAAGTTATTTTAAGAACTCTAAACTACCTGCTGTTAAAAGTATATACAATATAATTTTCTCCACTTTAAGAAATCTATTCTTAGCCTTTTCTATGACACTTTCCAACAAAGAGTATGTAGTTATGTGAGCAGGAAAAATGAGTCTTCTACCTTTTTTGCACAACGCGCCATACCTTCTTTCACAAAGTGAACCAATCTGAAGTGTAAGAGTGGTATGAATAGTTGATATTCAGCTGTAACCAGAAGAAACACAGAAATGCTGATGCTCTCCTCCCCTTCCAGCTCCCTCTGTGCTTCACTACAGTATTATCAAAATTCTAAACTTGGCTGACCACATTATATTAAAATACTTAAGCTGCTATGAATGGTAACAATATGATAGAATTCATGTTATCATTGAATTTTTAATTTTAAATATTTTAGGTTAAAAAAATCTCAGGTGTTGTAGTGGAACTCTGATTTGTTAAATGTATCCCTATTATTTGGAACTCCACCACTTAGATATTTAGCAGTATCTTATATTTTCTGTCACTTCACACAGTGCCTTGCACATATGACTCGAGATGTATGCTTGCTGAATTGAACTGTAACTTTTAAAATATCTCAGATATTACAATAATCAGCAGAATGCTTTACATTTTTTACAGTTCCTTTTATGCATATTAGTTCATACCTCTTCCCATCTGCTTTCATGTAGCTTTCTATTATTTTACAAAGTTTTACAATGATGGCAAACCCCAACGTTCAGCAGGGTGATGACTTAAAAGACTCACAGGTTTAGTGAGATTTGGTCTTGTATCCTTCTGACTCCATAGTCTACAAATTCTGCTATACTATAGAACATTTCTTCTTGATTTTAGGCAGTTTCCCCTATACTGTGAGCTGGAATAGAAGTTGCTGTCTATGTGTAATGAATGAACGCTATTGAATAGTTAACAGTATTGAGGTTCTAACCCAGCTCTTAGTGTTGTGTCCTTTCAACTGTTTCAAACAGTCAGCAGGCCCTTCCTGTGTTCTTAAAGGACTGTGGAGTGGAAAGTGCTTTTTGGAAAACATTTACAAGTAGAAATAGCTGGGAGTGATTGGTCTATGCCTGTAATCCCAGCACTTGGGAAACTGAGGCAGAATTGTGGCGAGTGTGAGGCCAGCATGGGCCACATAGAGTTCAAGGCCAGCTTGAACTACACAGCAAGACCCTGTCTCCAAAAAAAGGTGCAAAAATAAATAAGTAAAAGTAATTTTTTTCTAAACTATCTCACTAAAAAGTTAGTGATAATTAACTTTTAAGTTTAAATTTATTTTTATGCTACTTAAGAAAAATCCCATCTAGAAAAGCCTTCATTAACACATTGCCTGAGAGTTTGCTAAATTGCAGGCTCCAAGCTAAGGACTCTACAGGGTGCTGTAGGAGATAACACATAAGGTCTCTCTCACCTGAACTCTTAACCAGATCACATGTAATATTAAATTTAAGTATTTTGCCTTAAAAGGGTTAAAAACGGGACACTAAATTTTTGTTACTTACATACTGGTAAATTTATAGCTGTAATTAGCATGTATTCATTCATAAGGCAAATATTTTACACAATGACTTAGTGTGCATATACAAATTATGTTCTTTCAACATGCTTTTACCCAATAAAATTGCAATAAACTAGACTTGAGCTGATGTATGGCTGTTGCTGGGATAAGTATTAGTCTGAATGCGAGGTTCTTAGAGGGGAACTTAAAGCCCTAAGAGGATAACTTAGAACTGCCTAAATTAGCAGGAGTGGTGTAATACCACCCCACCATATTGGGAGCAGAAGTGCCCTAGAATGATACAGAGTCCTGATCAGGAAATTTGAACTGCTCCATTGCCGTGGTGACAGCCTAAGGACTAGGAGCCTAAGGACTAGTCTACCAGCTTCTGAGGCCAAAACCAGAGAGAAGCTCTCTAGCATGTGTCCACAGACAGAGGAGGTTTTACAGAATGTACACAGGGCATATAGAGAGGTCAAGTGGTACGGAAAGTTGGAGATCTAAGCTCAAATCTCAGAGATAACCTACCCTACAGAGTCTGCCTCAGAATTTGACCCAGAAAGGAAATTTCCCTATGACTAGACAATGCATCGAAGAAGCAGAAGTAGAAGTAGAAGTTTGGTAAAAACTGAGTACAAAAATCTGTCACAGTATTTTGTATTTCAAGTTCACATTTACTATTAAGCTGATAGCTGAATGATTAGGGGCGGGGTTAGAGCTCAGCACACAGATATATTCCTCTTTTCCAAGAGAGAACAAGGCATAGGATTTTCAGCGTAAATTCCACATTATGTAAGTATTGCTTAAATTCCACAGTGTATTCATGGAAGGATCTCTGTTAAACTGCTTTTGGTGCCAGGCTTAGATACTATTAAAGTTGAGGGTTCCCTAAACCTTCTTTGTGAGAGTAGGTTAGCTGCCAGTTTTCTCTCAGCTTCCAAGTCTAGGGTGTGTTGACTTTTGACTGTGGAAAGTCCCCAAGATGGGGTTCTCTGTATTTGAGGGCTCTGTATTTAAACAAACTCTGTAGTCTTTGGAAATGGCAGCTGTTTATTTTTGTCAAAGGGCTGCTACAGGGCTTGCAAGTGAGGTCTTCTGGTTAACCTTGTAACATGAACCTTTCAGGATTTCTAGTACTTCTGGCTCCCACTTTGGTCATATTAGTGCTTCAGGAACCTGTCACTGCTGGCCACGAAATACTCAGAAATCTGGATGATGAGGATTTTGATTAGAGCAAATTCATTTAAGTGAGCTATCCATAGCTTTCATCCTAAGGGTTTATGGGAAAAAACCCTCAGGACTTCTATACTCTAGTCCTGACCTTACATTTTTCTTGAGGGTCTCCCAAGACCCTTTCAAAGTATTAAAAGTAGAATTCTGAGTGCCCTTTTTACAGTGGAAATAGCTTTGACCAACATATTCCCAACATGCGAGTTCTAACTATAAACAAGTACATATTAGTTTTATCAGTTTTTTGTCTTTACACATTCTGCTATCATAGTACATTCATCCCATTAACTTACTGGTTATTGAGAATCTGAAAAAATACATATAACTGAAGGCATTCTGCAGTGTTTTTGTTTTGTTTTTTTGGTACCGAGGATCAAACTCAGACCCTTGTGCTTGTGAGGCAGGCAGTGGAACCAGGAAGCTAAATCCTTGGCCCTGCAGTGTTCTGATAAAAGTAATCAAGAGGATTGTAGGTCAAGATGATCTATCTAGAAAAATCATATAAGTTCTATGCTAGAATGTATCATTTATAATTAAAGATCCTGTCATTTTCCAGAGAAGGAAATACATTTTTAGGTTAAACTAGCTTGTCTGACTCACACAGCCAGTTAGTAATAAAATTCATGGGTGGAATAGTTATTTTTTCTCTCTACATTCAACTTCTTTCCCTTTTCTCATAATTGAGCAGCTTTTGGCAAAATATGTTTCTGACACCAATGATTCCAAGATGTTGTAATAGATGGTATAAGAGGGGAAATGGTCAATTAAAATTGAGGAATGGTGAATTTGTTTCCTTTCCCTGGGACTTCTAAAAGAAAAAGTTTTAAACATACTATGATACATTGTAAATCTATAAAAAGGGACAAAGATTTTGTTTTATTTTAGATTGTGCCCCCTTCCTCCTTTTCTTTGAGCATTTGCAAAGATGGCTCTTAATCAAGTTTACAACTCTTTTAGCAGAGACAGCCCAGTGGAATTACTGAATGGTGAGTCTGTTTCTGTGATACTATGTAATCTGCAGTCTTGTTACTAGCAAGAAAACATACTTACCATTCAGAACTAAAAGTATAGAGGTTCTTTGCTACCTGTGGTGTGTAAAATCACTATTTGTGTTTAATTTGCAAATTTTTAAGGATCAATTAATGAATGAATGTGCAAATACATTGGTGATATATTGATATAACACTTCCATAATGCTTTTGTGTGACTCTTTATAATTTTCAGACGCCTCCGGAACAGCCCTGTGAGCATAGGCAGTATTATAGTCATTGCACAGATAAGGTGTTGGAGGCTCCAAAGGGTTCCCCCTCCTTCTCTCTCTTTTTTTTTTTTTTTTCTTTTTTGGTATGGTTTTTGTTTTGTTTGCTTTTTCCCATGTAAATTTAAGTCACAAAAGGATGGAGCTAGAATTTTGTTGTAGAATTCTGATTCCAAGTCTGGAGTTCTTTACTCCATACCTGGCCTCTTATTCTTCTAGATTTATAATGCAGAATGAGATGGGTGTGGTAATGCACGCCTGTAATCCTAGCACTTGTGAGGCTGAGACAAGAGGATTGCCCCAAGTTCCAGGTCAGTCTGGGCTACAAAGTGAGTTCGAGGCCAGCCTGGGCTATATAAACAAACAATGAAAGGTACAGAATCAACATTCTTTTGTCTTATCATGAAATACCATTTCTTTTGTATTATAGTGACCTAGAAGTATTACTTTATTGTAACTCTCCCAGAGAAAACCCTTCGTCCTTTGCAGTGCCACTTGTTTAGGTGACTGGTGTGTATTTCAAATATTATTTGATTGTGAAACTAATATTTGACAATTGTTGTAATTACTTATTTAACTTTGAAAATGTTTAATTCCTGCATTCTCAGGCAAAGGAAGAGATGGTTTGAGAGTAAAAAGAATATTCAGATATGACAAATATTTATTACATAAATACCATTTCTTAGCTTTAACTTTCTTTGACAACCTACCGATGTAACTTCTTTGTAAAATGTAAAATATTTATATTTTGAAATAAAATTACTAGTGTTGAATGAAGCAGTAAACTTAAATCTCTTCTCTCTTGAGAAATTTTATCTTTAACCAAACTTCATAAATACATTTGTGTCTCAGGCCTTGTATACTACCTTTTCCTTTGGCACCAGTGCCTACATAAATTATGAAATTTGGTCCATAGTGAGGGAAGGTTTGTCTTGAGTGGGTAGTGGGTAGCTTAAAGAGGCTAAGTTAGGATCTTAAGAGGATGGAGCCCCCGACCCATCCCTCGGCACTGGGAGAGGTGGCCTTCTGAACCATGAGGGGTGAGAGGGGTAGCTGAGAAGTGAGATTTGGAAGTAAGTTCAGAGGCAGGTGAGCTAGCTCATGTCTATAATCTCAGGTACTCTGGAGGCAGAGGCAGGAGGATTGCAAATTCAAGCCCAGCCTGAGCCGCTTAGTATGACCCTATTTCCAAAAGGGCTGGAGACATAGCACTCAATGGCAGAGCAATCACTTACCTTGCAGGACTCAAGTTCAATCTCCAGTAAACGATGTGCTGCCCCCACCCCCCAGAGCTGAGCTCAAGAACTGTACTCTTTGAATGAAGAAAACAGAACTACCACTGGGTATCTTCACTACCAAAGATACTGTGCAGCTCTGGGAGACAAAGCATAACTGACAAGTGGGAACACTGCAAAGAACATTTCAACAATGCTTGGGAAAGAGCTTCTAAAGTTAGTGGTACCCTCCAGCTCCTCAGTCCGGCATGACGGATGGAGCAGTGATCCTGGATAGCCTCATAAACTCTTATTGGCAGATACTGCTCTTGATGAAACATTTCTGCATACTTCTCAGTGGATTGCTTAAGCCTAGAACTCCTTTACCAGGGTGCCTGCTTCCCACAGCCTCCTTTGGCTCTGCTCCCGGAGACCTAGGGGAAGGAGTGCTCTGCATCTCTCCCTTCACAGTGGCTCCGTGTAAACAGGGTTGGCCTTACAGAGATAGTTCTTAGCCTTCCCCTGAAGTGATTCTGGTGAGAGGTACACACTGATGTTCTTTTCATTCAGTGAAGTTACTGAGAAACTGCTCTGTGTCTAGCACTAGAGAAAAATTACTTTTGGTACCGGGGATCAAACTAACTTGGGACCCTGTGCTTTCCAGGCAGGTGAGGGTACCACAGAGCTAAATCCCCAGCCGGAGAAAAGTTGCTTTTGAAAAGTAATAGTGTTGGGGCTGGAGAGGTAGCTCAGTGGTAGAACACTTACTGCACAACACAAAACCGAAAAGCGTTTTTCCTGTTTTATTCCTTTGTGAAGAAACTCAGTAAACAGCTGCAAATACACTCTTATCTTTTTCCAGAGTAATCAGATATTTTTGACATGATTGGCTTTAATAAATTATTCACTTTCAATTCAACTCAAAGTATGACAAATACTCAGAAACTAAAGGGGAAAGAGGGAAATGGGACCGTCCTGAGAAGCCCCAGGAAGATTACCTGTCCAATTCCATCCCAGGGTCCAGGTCCCGCCCCAGAGCCTCGGTTCGTGTTCCGCTCTACCAGATTCAGCCCCAGCGCAGCTTCCAGAAATCTGCAGGAATTCAGAATTGACTTACAGCATGTCCCATTAAGGGAGGACGGAGGCTTTTCTGGGGACGATCGCTCCCCCTCCCGGTTAGAGGCCACGTGACCGTGGGAGGCGCTCTGGTGTCCTCCAGCTGCCCAGGAGAGACCTCGATCCCCCGCGCCAAGAGCGAGG